CAGCATGTTGTTCTGGAGGTGTGAATCCTGGACGCATGTTCAGATTAGCCTAGTTTTTTGCTCCACTGCTCTGCTCATGTGAGGCTCAAGACTCTCACAAGTAGGTTAAATCACTGAAAGATCTCACACTAACAATAACAAACAAACTGAGCTTGGAAATTCACTGGGTGGAGACAGACAGCAGGCTGATGTTTTTCTAGGATAGTTATTTTGTTGATGTGACTTGTTCAGCTACGACCATTCCAGGCAACGAAACCCCAGCAATAGAGCTGAAATTCATTACCTAACTCCCTTTCACAAGTCTAATGCCATCTAAATCCTCTAGTGACACTGGTGGGTTTGGATGCAAATGATACTGAGGCTTGACAATGAAGAACAGGGATAAACCCCTGAGTGCTGTTTTGACGGAGCGACAAAAACAACAACATTGGTGGCATATAGTTCTACGCCCCATTTTGGCTGGAGAGAGAGGAAGGGACTAATGATGGACAAACTCATAGTTGTGCTCTTCAGTCCATGCATTGCCTGGCATTGTGTTCATGATCCACATGTTTATTAGGGATTAACAATACAGAATTTTTTCCTTCAAGATTTTTCCTTGCCCTGCCTACTTTTCACTGATCACAGAAACTGAAACATTGTATGTTTAGCAAAATATTTTAAATGTTATTTTTTATTATTAAATTTATCTTTATATTAACTTTACTGCTACTTTATAATATCAACCATAAAATCCGAGGCTGGACACTATAAATCAATTTTAAACAATCTTCATTTTGATGAATCAATATGAATTCTTAAATCCTAAGATCCATCTTTTAGTCGACGCCGTTTACTGTTGGTGTGTGAACAAAATAAATTATATAAAAATATATGACAAAATATATGAATACATGAAATACAGTAGGTGGACAACCAAAATGCCTATTACCGCCGCAGGGCCACGGCGTTAACTGCAAGTCAGTCGCGTGTTAAAGTTGTTCACGAAACTACTGCCAGGTGACACAAAGGAAAAGTTTGCAAACTGACTGAAATTATGATATTTCGTTTTGTAAACTGAGATCAAATAACGAAATAAAGCAACAATAACATTATAATATAATATTATAACATCCTTTTATTATAACATCCTGTATTTAAACCAAAGTCTCATATTCTAACAATAAATGTGGTTTTTGACACTTTTAAATGTGGCATAACAGATCGCTGTAGCCGCATCAGTTCAAGTGGCACGTGAACCAATCCTTTCTTCCTCTTTACTACTGGTTATTGCACAAAATAAAACATGAGAAGGTATGTTAAAGGTGGGGTATGTATTTTTTCAAAAACGCTTTAGAAAACAAACTTGTAGCCAATCAGCAGTAAGGGGCGTGTCTACTCATGATGTGGAGGAGAGAGCGCTCAGTGCACAGGACGGACATTAGCCGAGCCGAGCGACAGAAAGATAGAGATGGCGGATAAAAAAACAAAAGAGGAAACCGTCTGCGAAACAAAAGAAGGCTTACAATAAGGCAAGAAGTAGGACCTGTGTAAATATCGGATCAGCTTTCCAGCGCTGGAGAGAACTCAAGGAGCGGAAGGACTGCAATCGGACGCCGAGGTTGCTTTGTTTCTTCTAGATAGGGGAGTAACACCGTGTCTACACCGGACATGCCACGCCGCAACAGCTAAAGTCTGTCTACACTGGACACGATAAAGCGACCATTGAAAATCATTTGAAATTTGTGTTAATACATCATAAATAGAAAGCAGCAGCAGTTTTCTGTCTGGGATTTGTCGTGTCGTGCCGCATCCAGTGTAGACAGCATCACTGATTATAATGAGTTCTATAGTATTTTGTCGTGCCGCGCCGCGCCACTCGAGTCCGGTGTAGACACGGTGTAACATTGGTTTTGCTTTGTTTCACAGAACTAATCATTGCTTTTGTTGCGTACGTATGTGTGGGGCGGAGCTATCAAAATAGGGGCGAGACCCTTTTGGGGTAAGGGCGTGTTTGTTTTGGTGATTTGAAATATCAACATTGGCTACCAGAAATCACTTACCCCACCTTTAAATGAAATAGTAAAACATACTGAAGTGTTTCATGTAATAGCTCAATCAAGATGTCAACTGAACAGTTTATAAACTATATGTTATGTAACAGTTACATTTACCTCAAAAAAGCCATTCACTGTCTATAACTTGATAGTCAACTAGACAAATGTAACTCTAGAAAGGTGCATTTTGTATGTATCCATAAAATGTAGTTATAAGACATCCACCATATAAATGTTAATATTTCTAATATCTTTTGCCAAATGCATGCTTGTTAATGTACCATTGACACTAGGGCTGTGCAAATAATCGAATGCGATTTTCATGCGCATCTCGTCAGTAAAGCCGGATCTGTGATTAGTAGTAAATCATTGCCGATTTTGAATGCAATATTGCGTAGCTTGTCAGTGAACTATGGCTATGTGTAGTAAATGCCGCTCCATCTGAAAGCACATGCTGGAGATTTACTACTAATCACAGAACCGGCTTTACTGACAAGATGCGCATGAAAATCGCATTCGATTATTTGCACAGCCCTAATTGACACTTTATTTAACACATGAAAAAATAATTAATAAATAATAATAATATCTATCTATCTATCTATCTATCTATCTATCTATCTATCTATCGAGAGAGAGAGAGAGAGAGAGCGCTTTCAAAAGTGGTAAGA